TCAGACGTTGTTTCTGGTGTAGTGGTGGTTGTCCCTAGTGTAGAAGTGTCAGTTGATGTTTCTGTAGAAGTGTCAGTTGATGTTGCTGTAGAAGTGTCAGTTGATGTTTCTGTAGAAGTGTCAGTTGATGTTTCTGTAGAAGTGTCAGTTGATGTTTCTGTAGAAGTGTCAGTTGATGTTTCTGTAGAAGTGTCAGTTGATGTTTCTGTAGAAGTGTCAGTTGATGTTTCTGTAGAAGTGTCAGTTGATGTTTCTGTAGAAGTGTCAGTGGATGTTTCAGTAGAAATGTCAGTGGATGTTTCAGTAGAAGTGTCAGTTGATGTTTCTGTAGAAGTGTCAGTTGATGTTTCTGTAGAAGTGTCAGTTGATGTTTCTGTAGAAGTGTCAGTTGATGTTTCTGTAGAAGTGTCAGTTGATGTTTCTGTAGAAGTGTCAGTTGATGTTTCTGTAGAAGTGTCAGTGGATGTTTCAGTAGAAGTGTCGGTGGATGTTTCTGTAGAAGTGTCAGTTGATGTTTCTGTAGAAGTGTTAGTGGATGTTTCAGTAGAAGTGTCCGTTGATGTTTCAGTAGAAGTGTCAGTTGATGTTTCTGTAGAAGTGTCAGTGGATGTTTCTGTAGAAGTGTCAGTGGATGTTTCAGTAGAAGTGTCCGTTGATGTTTCTGTAGAAGTGTCAGTTGATGTTTCTGTTGAAGTGTCAGTTGATGTTTCTGTAGAAGTGTCAGTTGATGTTTCTGTAGAAGTGTCAGTGGATGTTTCAGTAGAAGTGTCAGTTGATGTTTCTGTAGAAGTGTCAGTTGATGTTTCTGTAGAAGTGTCAATTGATGTAGAAGTGTCAGTTGATGTTTCTGTAGAAGTGTCAGTTGATGTAGAAGTGTCAGTTGATGTTTCTGTAGAAGTGTCAGTTGATGTTTCTGTAGAAGTGTCAGTGGATGTTTCAGTAGAAGTGTCAGTTGATGTTTCTGTAGAAGTGTCAGTTGATGTTTCTGTAGAAGTGTCAGTTGATGTTTCTGTAGAAGTGTCAGTGGATGTTTCAGTAGAAGTGTCAGTTGATGTTTCTGTAGAAGTGTCAGTTGATGTTTCTGTAGAAGTGTCAGTTGATGTTTCTGTAGAAGTGTCAGTTGATGTTTCTGTAGAAGTGTCAGTGGATGTTTCTGTAGAAGTGTCAGTTGATGTTTCTGTAGAAGTGTCAGTTGATGTTTCTGTAGATGTGTCAGTGGATGTTTCAGTAGAAGTGTCAGTTGATGTTTCTGTAGAAGTGTCAGTGGATGTTTCTGTAGAAGTGTCAGTTGATGTTTCTGTTGAAGTGTCAGTGGATGTTTCTGTAGAAGTGTCAGTTGATGTTTCTGTAGAAGTGTCAGTTGATGTTTCTGTAGAAGTGTCAGTTGATGTTTCTGTAGAAGTGTCAGTTGATGTTTCTGTAGAAGTGTCAGTGGATGTTTCAGTAGAAGTGTCAGTTGATGTTTCTGTAGAAGTGTCAGTTGATGTTTCTGTAGAAGTGTCAGTTGATGTTTCTGTAGAAGTGTCAGTTGATGTTTCTGTAGAAGTGTCAGTTGATGTTTCTGTAGAAGTGTCAGTTGATGTTTCTGTAGAAGTGTCAGTTGATGTTTCTGTAGAAGTGTCAGTTGATGTTTCTGTAGAAGTGTCAGTGGATGTTTCTGTAGAAGTGTCAGTTGATGTTTCTGTAGAAGTGTCAGTTGATGTTTCTGTAGATGTGTCAGTGGATGTTTCAGTAGAAGTGTCAGTTGATGTTTCTGTAGAAGTGTCAGTGGATGTTTCTGTAGAAGTGTCAGTTGATGTTTCTGTTGAAGTGTCAGTGGATGTTTCTGTAGAAGTGTCAGTTGATGTTTCTGTAGAAGTGTCAGTTGATGTTTCTGTAGAAGTGTCAGTTGATGTTTCTGTAGAAGTGTCAGTTGATGTTTCTGTAGAAGTGTCAGTTGATGTTTCAGTAGAAGTGTCAGTTGATGTTTCTGTAGAAGTGTCAGTTGATGTTTCTGTAGAAGTGTCAGTTGATGTTTCTGTAGAAGTGTCAGTTGATGTTTCTGTAGAAGTGTCAGTTGATGTTTCTGTAGAAGTGTCAGTTGATGTTTCTGTAGAAGTGTCAGTTGATGTAGAAGTGTCAGTTGATGTTTCTGTAGAAGTGTCAGTGGATGTTTCAGTAGAAGTTTCAGTTGATGTTTCTGTAGAAGTGTCAGTTGATGTTGCTGTAGAAGTGTCAGTGGATGTTTCAGTAGAAGTGTCAGTTGATGTTTCTGTAGAAGTGTCAGTTGATGTTTCTGTAGAAGTGTCAGTTGATGTAGAAGTGTCAGTTGATGTTTCTGTAGAAGTGTCAGTTGATGTTGCTGTAGAAGTGTCAGTGGATGTTTCAGTAGAAGTGTCAGTTGATGTTTCTGTAGAAGTGTCAGTTGATGTTTCTGTAGAAGTGTCAGTTGATGTAGAAGTGTCAGTTGATGTTTCTGTAGAAGTGTCAGTTGATGTAGAAGTGTCAGTTGATGTTTCTGTAGAAGTGTCAGTTGATGTAGAAGTGTCAGTTGATGTTTCTGTAGAAGTGTCAGTGGATTTTTCAGTAGAAGTGTCAGTTGATGTTTCTGTAGAAGTGTCAGTTGATGTTTCTGTAGAAGTGTCAGTTGATGTTTCTGTAGAAGTGTCAGTGGATGTTTCAGTAGAAGTTTCAGTTGATGTTTCTGTAGAAGTGTCAGTTGATGTTTCTGTAGAAGTTTCAGTGGATGTTTCAGTAGAAGTGTCAGTTGATGTTTCTGTAGAAGTGTCAGTTGATGTTTCTGTAGAAGTGTCAGTGGATGTTTCTGTAGAAGTGTCAGTTGATGTTTCTGTAGAAGTGTCAGTTGATGTTTCTGTAGAAGTGTCAGTGGATGTTTCAATAGAAGTGTCAGTGGATGTTTCTGTAGAAGTGTCAGTTGATGTTTCTGTAGAAGTGACAGTGGATGTTTCAGTAGAAGTGTCCGTTGATGTTTCAGTAGAAGTGTCAGTTGATGTTTCTGTAGAAGTGTCAGTTGATGTTTCTGTAGAAGTGTCAGAGGATGTTTCTGTAGAAGTGTCAGTGGATGTTTCTGTAGAAGTGTCAGTGGATGTTTCTGTAGAAGTGTCAGTTGATGTTTCTGTAGAAGTGTCAGTTGATGTTTCTGTAGAAGTGTCAGTTGATGTTTCTGTAGAAGTGTCAGTCGATGTTTCAGTAGAAGTGTCAGTTGATGTTTCTGTAGAAGTGTCAGTTGATGTTTCTGTAGAAGTGTCAGTTGATGTTTCTGTAGAAGTGTCAGTGGATGTTTCAGTAGAAGTGTCAGTGGATGTTTCAGTAGAAGTTTCCGTTGATGCTTCTGTAGAAACGTCCATTGATGTTTCTGTAGAAGTGTCAGTGGATGTTTCTGTAGAAGTGTCAGTTGATGTTTCTGTAGAAGTGTCAGTTGATGTTTCTGTAGAAGTGTCAGTTGATGTTTCTGTAGAAGTGTCAGTTGATGTTTCTGTAGAAGTGTCAGTTGATGTTTCTGTAGAAGTGTCAGTTGATGTTTCTGTAGAAGTGTCAGTTGATGTTTCTGTAGAAGTGTCAGTGGATGTTTCAGTAGAAATGTCAGTGGATGTTTCTGTAGAAGTGTCAGTTGATGTTTCTGTAGAAATGTCAGTTGATGTTTCTGTAGAAGTGTCAGTTGATGTTTCTGTAGAAGTGTCAGTTGATGTTTCTGTAGAAGTGTCAGTTGATGTTTCTGTAGAAGTGTCAGTTGATGTTTCTGTAGAAGTGTCAGTTGATGTTTCTGTAGAAGTGTCAGTTGATGTTTCTGTAGAAGTGTCTGTTGATGTTTCTGTAGAAGTGTCAGTGGATGTTTCAGTAGAAATGTCAGTGGATGTTTCAGTAGAAGTGTCAGTTGATGTTTCTGTAGAAGTGTCAGTTGATGTTTCTGTAGAAGTGTCAGTTGATGTTTCTGTAGAAGTGTCAGTTGATGTTTCTGTAGAAGTGTCAGTTGATGTTTCTGTAGAAGTGTCAGTTGATGTTTCTGTAGAAGTGTCAGTGGATGTTTCAGTAGAAGTGTCGGTGGATGTTTCTGTAGAAGTGTCAGTTGATGTTTCTGTAGAAGTGTTAGTGGATGTTTCAGTAGAAGTGTCCGTTGATGTTTCAGTAGAAGTGTCAGTTGATGTTTCTGTAGAAGTGTCAGTTGATGTTTCTGTAGAAGTGTCAGTGGATGTTTCAGTAGAAGTGTCCGTTGATGTTTCTGTAGAAGTGTCAGTTGATGTTTCTGTAGAAGTGTCAGTTGATGTTTCTGTAGAAGTGTCAGTTGATGTTTCTGTAGAAGTGTCAGTGGATGTTTCAGTAGAAGTGTCAGTTGATGTTTCTGTAGAAGTGTCAGTTGATGTTTCTGTAGAAGTGTCAATTGATGTAGAAGTGTCAGTTGATGTTTCTGTAGAAGTGTCAGTTGATGTAGAAGTGTCAGTTGATGTTTCTGTAGAAGTGTCAGTTGATGTTTCTGTAGAAGTGTCAGTGGATGTTTCAGTCGAAGTGTCAGTTGATGTTTCTGTAGAAGTGTCAGTTGATGTTTCTGTAGAAGTGTCAGTTGATGTTTCTGTAGAAGTGTCAGTGGATGTTTCAGTAGAAGTGTCAGTTGATGTTTCTGTAGAAGTGTCAGTTGATGTTTCTGTAGAAGTGTCAGTGGATGTTTCTGTAGAAGTGTCAGTTGATGTTTCTGTAGAAGTGTCAGTTGATGTTTCTGTAGAAGTGTCAGTTGATGTTTCTGTAGAAGTGTCAGTGGATGTTTCTGTAGAAGTGTCAGTTGATGTTTCTGTAGAAGTGTCAGTTGATGTTTCTGTAGATGTGTCAGTGGATGTTTCAGTAGAAGTGTCAGTTGATGTTTCTGTAGAAGTGTCAGTTGATGTTTCTGTAGAAGTGTCAGTTGATGTTTCTGTTGAAGTGTCAGTGGATGTTTCTGTAGAAGTGTCAGTTGATGTTTCTGTAGAAGTGTCAGTTGATGTTTCTGTAGAAGTGTCAGTTGATGTTTCTGTAGAAGTGTCAGTTGATGCTTCTGTAGAAGTGTCAGTTGATGTTTCAGTAGAAGTGTCAGTTGATGTTTCTGTAGAAGTGTCAGTTGATGTTTCTGTAGAAGTGTCAGTTGATGTTTCTGTAGAAGTGTCAGTTGATGTTTCTGTAGAAGTGTCAGTTGATGTTTCTGTAGAAGTGTCAGTTGATGTTTCTGTAGAAGTGTCAGTTGATGTAGAAGTGTCAGTTGATGTTTCTGTAGAAGTGTCAGTTGATGTTTCTGTAGAAGTGTCAGTGGATGTTTCAGTAGAAGTGTCAGTTGATGTTTCTGTAGAAGTGTCAGTTGATGTTTCTGTAGAAGTGTCAGTGGATGTTTCAGTTGATGTTTCTGTAGAAGTGTCAGTTGATGTTGCTGTAGAAGTGTCAGTGGATGTTTCAGTAGAAGTGTCAGTTGATGTTTCTGTAGAAGTGTCAGTTGATGTTTCTGTAGAAGTGTCAGTTGATGTGAAAGTGTCAGTTGATGTTTCTGTAGAAGTGTCAGTTGATGTAGAAGTGTCAGTTGATGTTTCTGTAGAAGTGTCAGTGGATTTTTCAGTAGAAGTGTCAGTTGATGTTTCTGTAGAAGTGTCAGTTGATGTTTCTGTAGAAGTGTCAGTTGATGTTTCTGTAGAAGTGTCAGTGGATGTTTCAGTAGAAGTTTCAGTTGATGTTTCTGTAGAAGTGTCAGTTGATGTTTCTGTAGAAGTTTCAGTGGATGTTTCAGTAGAAGTGTCAGTTGATGTTTCTGTAGAAGTGTCAGTTGATGTTTCTGTAGAAGTGTCAGTTGATGTTTCTGTAGAAGTGTCAGTTGATGTTTCTGTAGAAGTGTCAGTTGATGTTTCTGTAGAAGTGTCAGTGGATGTTTCAATAGAAGTGTCAGTGGATGTTTCTGTAGAAGTGTCAGTTGATGTTTCTGTAGAAGTGTCAGTTGATGTTTCTGTAGAAGTGTCCGTTGATGTTTCAGTAGAAGTGTCAGTTGATGTTTCTGTAGAAGTGTCAGTTGATGTTTCTGTAGAAGTGTCAGTGGATGTTTCAGTAGAAGTGTCCGTTGATGTTTCTGTAGAAGTGTCAGTTGATGTTCCTGTAGAAGTGTCAGTTGATGTTTCTGTAGAAGTGTCAGTTGATGTTTCTGTAGAAGTGTCAGTTGATGTTTCTGTAGAAGTGTCAGTTGATGTTTCTGTAGAAGTGTCAGTTGATGTTTCTTTAGAAGTGTCAGTTGATGTAGAAGTGTCAGTTGATGTTTCTGTAGAAGTGTCAGTTGATGTAGAAGTGTCAGTTGATGTTTCTGTAGAAGTGTCAGTTGATGTTTCTGTAGAAGTGTCAGTGGATGTTTCAGTAGAAGTGTCAGTTGATGTTTCTGTAGAAGTGTCAGTTGATGTTTCTGTAGAAGTGTCAGTGGATGTTTCAGTAGAAGTGTCAGTTGATGTTTCTGTAGAAGTGTCAGTTGATGTTTCTGTAGAAGTGTCAGTTGATGTTTCTGTAGAAGTGTCAGTTGATGTTTCTGTAGAAGTGTCAGTGGATGTTTCAGTAGAAGTGTCAGTTGATGTTTCTGTAGAAGTGTCAGTTGATGTTTCTGTAGAAGTGTCAGTTGATGTTTCTGTAGAAGTGTCAGTTGATGTTTCTGTAGAAGTGTCAGTGGATGTTTCTGTAGAAGTGTCAGTTGATGTTTCTGTAGAAGTGTCAGTGGATGTTTCAGTAGAAGTGTCAGTTGATGTTTCTGTAGAAGTGTCAGTTGATGTTTCTGTAGAAGTGTCAGTTGATGTTTCTGTAGAAGTGTCAGTTGATGTTTCTGTAGAAGTGTCAGTTGATGTTTCTGTAGAAGTGTCAGTTGATGTTTCTGTAGAAGTGTCAGTTGATGTTTCTGTAGAAGTGTCAGTTGATGTTTCTGTAGAAGTGTCAGTTGATGTTTCTGTAGAAGTGTCAGTTGATTCTGTAGAAGTGTCAGTTGATGTTTCTGTAGAAGTGTCAGTTAATGTAGAAGTGTCAGTTGATGTTTCTGTAGAAGTGTCAGTTGATGTTTCTGTAGAAGTGTCAGTTGATGTTTCTGTAGAAGTGTCAGTGGATGTTTCTGTAGAAGTGTCAGTTGATGTTTCTGTAGAAGTGTCAGTTGATGTTTTGTAGAAGTGTCAGTTGATGTTTCTGTAGAAGTGTCAGTTGATGTTTCTGTAGAAGTGTCAGTGGATGTTTCAGTAGAAGTGTCAGTTGATGTTTCTGTAGAAGTGTCAGTTGATGTTTCTGTAGAAGTGTCAGTTGATGTTTCTGTAGAAGTGTCAGTTGATGTTTCTGTAGAAGTGTCAGTGGATGTTTCTGTAGAAGTGTCAGTTGATGTTTCTGTAGAAGTGTCAGTTGATGTTTCTGTAGAAGTGTCAGTTGATGTTTCTGTAGAAGTGTCAGTTGATGTTTCTGTAGAAGTGTCAGTTGATGTTTCTGTAGAAGTGTCAGTTGATGTTTCTGTAGAAGTGTCAGTTGATGTTTCTGTAGAAGTGTCAGTTGATGTTTCTGTAGAAGTGTCAGTTGATGTTTCTGTAGAAGTGTCAGTTGATGTTTCTGTAGAAGTGTCAGTTGATGTTTCTGTAGAAGTGTCAGTTGATGTTTCAGTAGAAGTGTCAGTTGATGTTTCTGTAGAAGTGTCAGTTGATGTTTCTGTAGAAGTGTCAGTTGATGTTTCTGTAGAAGTGTCAGTTGATGTAGAAGTGTCAGTTGATGTAGAAGTGTCAGTTGATGTTTCTGTAGAAGTGTCAGTTGATGTTTCTGTAGAAGTGTCAGTTGATGTTTCTGTAGAAGTGTCAGTTGATGTTTCTGTAGAAGTGTCAGTTGATGTTTCTGTAGAAGTGTCAGTTGATGTTTCTGTAGAAGTGTCAGTTGATGTTTCTGTAGAAGTGTCAGTTGATGTTTCTGTAGAAGTGTCAGTTGATGTTTCTGTAGAAGTGTCAGTTGATGTTTCTGTAGAAGTGTCAGTTGATGTTTCTGTAGAAGTGTCAGTTGATGTTTCTGTAGAAGTGTCAGTGGATGTTTCTGTAGAAGTGTCAGTGGATGTTTCTGTAGAAGTGTCAGTTGATGTTTCTGTAGAAGTGTCAGTTGATGTTTCTGTAGAAGTGTCAGTTGATGTTTCTGTAGAAGTGTCAGTGGATGTTTCAGTAGAAGTGTCAGTTGATGTTTCAGTAGAAGTGTCAGTTGATGTTTCTGTAGAAGTGTCAGTTGATGTTTCTGTAGAAGTGTCAGTTGATGTTTCAGTAGAAGTGTCAGTTGATGTTTCTGTAGAAGTGTCAGTTGATGTTTCTGTAGAAGTGTCAGTTGATGTTTCTGTAGAAGTGTCAGTGGATGTTTCAGTAGAAGTGTCAGTTGATGTTTCTGTAGAAGTGTCAGTTGATGTTTCTGTAGAAGTGTCAGTTGATGTTTCTGTAGAAGTGTCAGTTGATGTTTCTGTAGAAGTGTCAGTGGATGTTTCTGTAGAAGTGTCAGTTGATGTTTCTGTAGAAGTGTCAGTTGATGTTTCTGTAGAAGTGTCAGTTGATGTTTCTGTAGAAGTGTCAGTTGATGTTTCTGTAGAAGTGTCAGTTGATGTTTCTGTAGAAGTGTCAGTTGATGTTTCTGTAGAAGTGTCAGTTGATGTTTCTGTAGAAGTGTCAGTTGATGTTTCTGTAGAAGTGTCAGTTGATGTTTCTGTAGAAGTGTCAGTTGATGTTTCTGTAGAAGTGTCAGTTGATGTTTCTGTAGAAGTTTCAGTTGATGTTTCAGTAGAAGTGTCAGTTGATGTTTCTGTAGAAGTGTCAGTGGATGTTTCAGTAGAAGTGTCAGTTGATGTTTCTGTAGAAGTGTCAGTTGATGTTTCTGTAGAAGTGTCAGTTGATGTTTCTGTAGAAGTGTCAGTTGATGTTTCTGTAGAAGTGTCAGTTGATGTTTCAGTAGAAGTGTCAGTTGATGTTTCTGTAGAAGTGTCAGTTGATGTTTCTGTAGAAGTGTCAGTTGATGTTTCTGTAGAAGTGTCAGTTGATGTTTCTGTAGAAGTGTCAGTTGATGTTTCTGTAGAAGTGTCAGTTGATGTTTCTGTAGAAGTGTCAGTTGATGTTTCTGTAGAAGTGTCAGTTGATGTTTCTGTAGAAGTGTCAGTTGATGTTTCTGTAGAAGTGTCAGTTGATGTTTCTGTAGAAGTTTCAGTGGATGTTTCAGTAGAAGTGTCAGTTGATGTTTCTGTAGAAGTGTCAGTTGATGTTTCTGTAGAAGTGTCAGTTGATGTTTCTGTAGAAGTGTCAGTTGATGTTTCTGTAGAAGTGTCAGTTGATGTTTCAGTAGAAGTGTCAGTTGATGTTTCTGTAGAAGTGTCAGTTGATGTTTCTGTAGAAGTGTCAGTTGATGTTTCTGTAGAAGTGTCAGTGGATGTTTCAGTAGAAGTGTCCGTTGATGTTTCTGTAGAAGTGTCAGTTGATGTTTCTGTAGAAGTGTCAGTTGATGTTTCTGTAGAAGTGTCAGTGGATGTTTCAGTAGAAGTGTCAGTGGATGTTTCTGTAGAAGTGTCAGTTGATGTTTCTGTAGAAGTGTCAGTTGATGTTTCTGTAGAAGTGTCAGTTGATGTTTCTGTAGAAGTGTCAGTGGATGTTTCTGTAGAAGTGTCAGTGGATGTTTCAGTAGAAGTGTCAGTTGATGTTTCTGTAGAAGTGTCAGTTGATGTTTCTGTAGAAGTGTCAGTTGATGTTTCTGTAGAAGTGTCAGTTGATGTTTCTGTAGAAGTGTCAGTTGATGTTTCTGTAGAAGTGTCAGTTGATGTTTCTGTAGAAGTGTCAGTTGATGTTTCAGTAGAAGTGTCAGTGGATGTTTCAGTAGAAGTGTCAGTTGATGTTTCTGTAGAAGTGTCAGTTGATGTTTCTGTAGAAGTGTCAGTTGATGTTTCTGTAGAAGTGTCAGTTGATGTTTCTGTAGAAGTGTCAGTTGATGTTTCTGTAGAAGTGTCAGTTGATGTTTCTGTAGAAGTGTCAGTGGATGTTTCAGTAGAAGTGTCGGTGGATGTTTCTGTAGAAGTGTCAGTTGATGTTTCTGTAGAAGTGTTAGTGGATGTTTCAGTAGAAGTGTCCGTTGATGTTTCAGTAGAAGTGTAAGTTGATGTTTCTGTAGAAGTGTCAGTTGATGTTTCTGTAGAAGTGTCAGTGGATGTTTCAGTAGAAGTGTCCGTTGATGTTTCTGTAGAAGTGTCAGTTGATATTTCTGTTGAAGTGTCAGTTGATGTTTCTGTAGAAGTGTCAGTTGATGTTTCTGTAGAAGTGTCAGTGGATGTTTCAGTAGAAGTGTCAGTTGATGTTTCTGTAGAAGTGTCAGTTGATGTTTCTGTAGAAGTGTCAATTGATGTAGAAGTGTCAGTTGATGTTTCTGTAGAAGTGTCAGTTGATGTAGAAGTGTCAGTTGATGTTTCTGTAGAAGTGTCAGTTGATGTTTCTGTAGAAGTGTCAGTGGATGTTTCAGTAGAAGTGTCAGTTGATGTTTCTGTAGAAGTGTCAGTTGATGTTTCTGTAGAAGTGTCAGTTGATATTTCTGTAGAAGTGTCAGTGGATGTTTCAGTAGAAGTGTCAGTTGATGTTTCTGTAGAAGTGTCAGTTGATGTTTCTGTAGAAGTGTCAGTTGATGTTTCTGTAGAAGTGTCAGTTGATGTTTCTGTAGAAGTGTCAGTTGATGTTTCTGTAGAAGTGTCAGTTGATGTTTCTGTAGAAGTGTCAGTTGATGTTTCTGTAGAAGTGTCAGTTGATGTTTCTGTAGAAGTGTCAGTTGATGTTTCTGTAGAAGTGTCAGTTGATGTTTCAGTAGAAGTGTCAGTTGATGTTTCTGTAGAAGTTTCAGTGGATGTTTCAGTAGAAGTGTCAGTTGATGTTTCTGTAGAAGTGTCAGTTGATGTTTCTGTAGAAGTGTCAGTTGATGTTTCTGTAGAAGTGTCAGTTGATGTTTCTGTAGAAGTGTCAGTTGATGTTTCAGTAGAAGTGTCAGTTGATGTTTCTGTAGAAGTGTCAGTTGATGTTTCTGTAGAAGTGTCAGTTGATGTTTCTGTAGAAGTGTCAGTTGATGTTTCTGTAGAAGTGTCAGTGGATGTTTCAGTAGAAGTTTCAGTTGATGTTTCTGTAGAAGTGTCAGTTGATGTTGCTGTAGAAGTGTCAGTGGATGTTTCAGTAGAAGTGTCAGTTGATGTTTCTGTAGAAGTGTCAGTTGATGTTTCTGTAGAAGTGTCAGTGGATGTTTCTGTAGAAGTGTCAGTTGATGTTTCTGTAGAAGTGTCAGTTGATGTTTCTGTAGAAGTGTCAGTTGATGTTTCTGTAGAAGTGCCAGTGGATGTTTCAGTAGAAGTGTCCGTTGATGTTTCAGTAGAAGTGTCAGTTGATGTTTCTGTAGAAGTGTCAGTTGATGTTTCTGTAGAAGTGTCAGTGGTTGTTGCAGTAGAAGTGTCCGTTGATGTTTCTGTAGAAGTGTCAGTTGATGTTTCTGTAGAAGTATCAGTTGATGTTGCTGTAGAAGTGTCAGTGGATGTTTCAGTAGAAGTGTCAGTTGATGTTTCTGTAGAAGTGTCAGTTGATGTTTCTGTAGAAGTGTCAGTTGATGTTTCTGTAGAAGTGTCAGTTGATGTTTCTGTAGAAGTGTCAGTGGATGTTTCTGTAGAAGTGTCAGTGGATGTTTCTGTAGAAGTGTCAGTTGATGTTTCTGTAGAAGTGTCAGTTGATGTTTCTGTAGAAGTGTCAGTTGATGTTTCTGTAGAAGTGTCAGTTGATGTTTCTGTAGAAGTGTCAGTTGATGTTTCTGTAGAAGTGTCAGTTGATGTTTCTGTAGAAGTGTCAGTGGATGTTTCAGTAGAAGTGTCAGTTGATGTTTCTGTAGAAGTGTCAGTTGATGTTTCTGTAGAAGTGTCAGTTGATGTTTCTGTAGAAGTGTCAGTTGATGTTTCTGTAGAAGTGTCAGTTGATGTTTCTGTAGAAGTGTCAGTGGATGTTTCAGTAGAAGTGTCAGTTGATGTTTCTGTAGAAGTGTCAGTTGATGTTTCTGTAGAAGTGTCAGTGGATGTTTCAGTAGAAGTGTCAGTTGATGTTTCTGTAGAAGTGTCAGTTGATGTTTCTGTAGAAGTGTCAGTTGATGTTTCTGTAGAAGTGTCAGTTGATGTTTCTGTAGAAGTGTCAGTTGATGTTTCTGTAGAAGTGTCAGTTGATGTTTCTGTAGAAGTGTCAGTTGATGTTTCTGTAGAAGTGTCAGTGGATGTTTCTAGTAGAAGTGTCAGTGATGTTTCTGTAGAAGTGTCAGTTGATGTTTCAGTAGAAGTGTCAGTTGATGTGTCTGTAGAAGTGTCCGTTGATGTTTCTGTAGAAGTGTCAGTTGATGTTTCTGTAGAAGTGTCAGTTGATGTTTCTGTAGAAGTGTCAGTTGATGTTTCTGTAGAAGTGTCAGTTGATGTTTCTGTAGAAGTGTCAGTTGATGTTTCTGTAGAAGTGTCAGTTGATGTTTCTGTAGAAGTGTCAGTTGATGTTTCTGTAGAAGTGTCAGTTGATGTTTCTGTAGAAGTGTCAGTGGATGTTTCAGTAGAAGTGTCAGTTGATGTTTCTGTAGAAGTGTCAGTTGATGTTTCTGTAGAAGTGTCAGTGGATGTTTCTGTAGAAGTGTCAGTTGATGTTTCTGTAGAAGTGTCAGTTGATGTTTCTGTAGAAGTGTCAGTTGATGTTTCTGTAGAAGTGTCAGTTGATGTTTCTGTAGAAGTGTCAGTGGATGTTTCAGTAGAAGTGTCAGTTGATGTTTCTGTAGAAGTGTCAGTTGATGTTTCTGTAGAAGTGTCAGTGGATGTTTCAGTAGAAGTGTCAGTTGATGTTTCTGTAGAAGTGTCAGTTGATGTTTCTGTAGAAGTGTCAGTGGATGTTTCTGTAGAAGTGTCAGTTGATGTTTCTGTAGAAGTGTCAGTTGATGTTTCTGTAGAAGTGTCAGTTGATGTTTCTGTAGAAGTGCCAGTGGATGTTTCAGTAGAAGTGTCCGTTGATGTTTCAGTAGAAGTGTCAGTTGATGTTTCTGTAGAAGTGTCAGTTGATGTTTCTGTAGAAGTGTCAGTGGTTGTTTCAGTAGAAGTGTCCGTTGATGTTTCTGTAGAAGTGTCAGTTGATGTTTCTGTAGAAGTGTCAGTTGATGTTTCTGTAGAAGTGTCAGTGGATGTTTCAGTAGAAGTGTCAGTTGATGTTTCTGTAGAAGTGTCAGTTGATGTTTCTGTAGAAGTGTCAGTTGATGTTTCTGTAGAAGTGTCAGTTGATGTTTCTGTAGAAGTGTCAGTTGATGTTTCTGTAGAAGTGTCAGTGGATGTTTCAGTAGAAGTGTCAGTTGATGTTTCTGTAGAAGTGTCAGTTGATGTTTCTGTAGAAGTGTCAGTTGATGTTTCTGTAGAAGTGTCAGTTGATGTTTCTGTAGAAGTGTCAGTTGATGTTTCTGTAGAAGTGTCAGTTGATGTTTCTGTAGAAGTGTCAGTTGATGTTTCTGTAGAAGTGTCAGTTGATGTTTCTGTAGAAGTGTCAGTTGATGTTTCTGTAGAAGTTTCAGTTGATGTTTCAGTAGAAGTGTCAGTTGATGTTTCTGTAGAAGTGTCAGTGGATGTTTCAGTAGAAGTGTCAGTTGATGTTTCTATAGAAGTGTCAGTTGATGTTTCTGTAGAAGTGTCAGTTGATGTTTCTGTAGAAGTGTCAGTGATGTTTCTGTAGAAGTGTCAGTGGATGTTTCTGTAGAAGTGTCAGTTGATGTTTCTGTAGAAGTGTCAGTGGATGTTTCTGTAGAAGTGTCAGTGGATGTTTCAGTAGAAGTGTCAGTTGATGTTTCTGTAGAAGTGTCAGTTGATGTTTCTGTAGAAGTGTCAGTGGATGTTTCTGTAGAAGTGTCAGTGGATGTTTCAGTAGAAGTGTCAGTTAATGTTGCTGTAGAAGTGTCAGTGGATGTTTCAGTAGAAGTGTCAGTTGATGTTTCTGTAGAAGTGTCAGTTGATGTTTCTGTAGAAGTGTCAGTTGATGTTTCTGTAGAAGTGCCAGTGGATGTTTCAGTAGAAGTGTCCGTTGATGTTTCTGTAGAAGTGTCAGTTGATGTTTCTGTAGAAGTGTCAGTTGATGTTTCTGTAGAAGTGTCAGTGGATGTTTCAGTAGAAGTGTCAGTTGATGTTTCTGTAGAAGTGTCAGTTGATGTTTCTGTAGAAGTGTCAGTTGATGTTTCTGTAGAAGTGTCAGTGGATGTTTCAGTAGAAGTGTCAGTTGATGTTTCTGTAGAAGTGTCAGTTGATGTTTCTGTAGAAGTGTCAGTTGATGTTTCTGTAGAAGTGTCAGTTGATGTTTCTGTAGAAGTGTCAGTTGATGTTTCTGTAGAAGTGTCAGTTGATGTTTCTGTAGAAGTGTCAGTTGATGTTTCTGTAGAAGTGTCAGTTGATGTTTCTGTAGAAGTGTCAGTTGATGTTTCTGTAGAAGTGTCAGTTGATGTTTCTGTAGAAGTGTCAGTTGATGTTTCTGTAGAAGTGTCAGTTGATGTTTCTGTAGAAGTGTCAGTTGATGTTTCTGTAGAAGTGTCAGTTGATGTTTCTGTAGAAGTGTCAGTTGATGTTTCTGTAGAAGTGTCAGTTGATGTTTCAGTAGAAGTGTCAGTTGATGTTTCTGTAGAAGTGTCAGTTGATGTTTCTGTAGAAGTGTCAGTTGATGTTTCTGTAGAAGTGTCAGTTGATGTTTCTGTAGAAGTGTCAGTGGATGTTTCAGTAGAAGTGTCAGTTGATGTTTCTGTAGAAGTGTCAGTTGATGTTTCTGTAGAAGTGTCAGTGGATGTTTCAGTAGAAGTGTCAGTTGATGTTTCTGTAGAAGTGTCAGTTGATGTTTCTGTAGAAGTGTCAGTGGATGTTTCTGTAGAAGTGTCAGTTGATGTTTCTGTAGAAGTGTCAGTTGATGTTTCTGTAGAAGTGTCAGTTGATGTTTCTGTAGAAGTGTCAGTGGATGTTTCAGTAGAAGTGTCAGTTGATGTTTCTGTAGAAGTGTCAGTTGATGTTTCTGTAGAAGTGTCAGTTGATGTTTCTGTAGAAGTGTCAGTTGATGTTTCTGTAGAAGTGTCAGTGGATGTTTCAGTAGAAGTGTCAGTTGATGTTTCTGTAGAAGTGTCAGTTGATGTTTCTGTAGAAGTGTCAGTTGATGTTTCTGTAGAAGTGTCAGTTGATGTTTCTGTAGAAGTGTCAGTGGATGTTTCTGTAGAAGTGTCAGTTGATGTTTCTGTAGAAGTGTCAGTTGATGTTTCTGTAGAAGTGTCAGTTGATGTTTCTGTAGAAGTGTCAGTTGATGTTTCTGTAGAAGTGTCAGTTGATGTTTCTGTAGAAGTGTCAGTTGATGTTTCTGTAGAAGTGTCAGTTGATGTTTCTGTAGAAGTGTCAGTTGATGTTTCTGTAGAAGTGTCAGTTGATGTTTCTGTAGAAGTGTCAGTTGATGTTTCTGTAGAAGTGTCAGTTGATGTTTCTGTAGAAGTGTCAGTGGATGTTTCAGTAGAAGTGTCAGTTGATGTTTCTGTAGAAGTGTCAGTTGATGTTTCTGTAGAAGTGTCAGTTGATGTTTCTGTAGAAGTGTCAGTGGATGTTTCTGTAGAAGTGTCAGTGGATGTTTCTGTAGAAGTGTCAGTTGATGTTTCTGTAGAAGTGTCAGTTGATGTTTCTGTAGAAGTGTCAGTTGATGTTTCTGTAGAAGTGTCAGTTGATGTTTCTGTAGAAGTGTCAGTTGATGTTTCTGTAGAAGTGTCAGTTGATGTTTCTGTAGAAGTGTCAGTTGATGTTTCTGTAGAAGTGTCAGTTGATGTTTCTGTAGAAGTGTCAGTTGATGTTTCAGTAGAAGTGTCAGTTGATGTTTCTGTAGAAGTGTCAGTGGATGTTTCAGTAGAAGTGTCAGTTGATGTTTCTGTAGAAGTGTCAGTTGATGTTTCTGTAGAAGTGTCAGTGGATGTTTCAGTAGAAGTGTCAGTTGATGTTTCTGTAGAAGTGTCAGTTGATGTTTCTGTAGAAGTGTCAGTGGATGTTTCTGTAGAAGTGTCAGTTGATGTTTCTGTAGAAGTGTCAGTTGATGTTTCTGTAGAAGTGTCAGTTGATGTTTCTGTAGAAGTGTCAGTGGATGTTTCAGTAGAAGTGTCAGTTGATGTTTCAGTAGAAGTGTCAGTTGATGTTTCTGTAGAAGTGTCAGTTGATGTTTCTGTAGAAGTGTCAGTGGATGTTTCAGTAGAAGTGTCAGTTGATGTTTCTGTAGAAGTGTCAGTTGATGTTTCTGTAGAAGTGTCAGTTGATGTTTCTGTAGAAGTGTCAGTTGATGTTTCTGTAGAAGTGTCAGTGGATGTTTCAGTAGAAGTGTCAGTTGATGTTTCTGTAGAAGTGTCAGTTGATGTTTCTGTAGAAGTGTCAGTTGATGTTTCTGTAGAAGTGTCAGTTGATGTTTCTGTAGAAGTGTCAGTGGATGTTTCTGTAGAAGTGTCAGTTGATGTTTCTGTAGAAGTGTCAGTTGATGTTTCTGTAGAAGTGTCAGTTGATGTTTCTGTAGAAGTGTCAGTTGATGTTTCTGTAGAAGTGTCAGTTGATGTTGCTGTAGAAGTGTCAGTTGATGTTTCTGTAGAAGTGTCAGTTGATGTTTCTGTAGAAGTGTCAGTTGATGTTTCTGTAGAAGTGTCAGTTGATGTTTCTGTAGAAGTGTCAGTTGATGTTTCAGTAGAAGTGTCAGTTGATGTTTCTGTAGAAGTGTCAGTGGATGTTTTAGTAGAAGTGTCAGTTGATGTTTCTATAGAAGTGTCAGTTGATGTTTCTGTAGAAGTGTCAGTTGATGTTTCTGTAGAAGTGTCAGTTGATGTTTCTGTAGAAGTGTCAGTTGATGTTTCAGTAGAAGTGTCAGTTGATGTTTCTGTAGAAGTGTCAGTTGATGTTTCTGTAGAAGTGTCAGTTGATGTTTCTGTAGAAGTGTCAGTTGATGTTTCTGTAGATGTGTCAGTTGATGTTTCTGTAGAAGTGTCAGTTGATGTTTCTGTAGAAGTGTCAGTTGATGTTTCTGTAGAAGTGTCAGTTGATGTTTCTGTAGAAGTGTCAGTGGATGTTTCAGTAGAAGTGTCAGTTGATGTTTCTGTAGAAGTGTCAGTGGATGTTTCAGTAGAAGTGTCAGTTGATGTTTCTGTAGAAGTGTCAGTTGATGTTTCTGTAGAAGTGTCAGTTGATGTTTCTGTAGAAGTGTCAGTTGATGTTTCTGTAGAAGTGTCAGTTGATGTTTCTGTAGAAGTGTCAGTGATGTTTCTGTAGAAGTGTCAGTTGATGTTTCTGTAGAAGTGTCAGTTGATGTTTCTGTAGAAGTGTCAGTTGATGTTTCTGTAGAAGTGTCAGTTGATGTTTCTGTAGAAGTGTCAGTTGATGTTTCTGTAGAAGTGTCAGTTGATGTTTCTGTAGAAGTGTCAGTTGATGTTTCTGTAGAAGTGTCAGTTGATGTTTCTGTAGAAGTGTCAGTTGATGTTTCTGTAGAAGTGTCAGTTGATGTTTCTGTAGAAGTGTCAGTTGATGTTTCTGTAGAAGTGTCAGTTGATGTTTCTGTAGAAGTGTCAGTTGATGTTTCTGTAGAAGTGTCAGTTGATGTTTCTGTAGAAGTGTCAGTTGATGTTTCTGTAGAAGTGTCAGTTGATGTTTCTGTAGAAGTGTCAGTGGATGTTTCTGTAGAAGTGTCAGTTGATGTTTCTGTAGAAGTGTCAGTTGATGTTTCTGTAGAAGTGTCAGTGGTTGTTTCAGTAGAAGTGTCCGTTGATGTTTCTGTAGAAGTGTCAGTTGATGTTTCTGTAGAAGTGTCAGTGGATGTTTCAGTAGAAGTGTCAGTTGATGTTTCTGTAGAAGTGTCAGTTGATGTTTCTGTAGAAGTGTCAGTTGATGTTTCTGTAGAAGTGTCAGTTGATGTTTCTGTAGAAGTGTCAGTGGATATTTCTGTAGAAGTGTCAGTGGATGTTTCAGTAGAAGTGTCAGTTGATGTTTCTGTAGAAGTGTCAGTTGATGTTTCTGTAGAAGTGTCAGTTGATGTTTCTGTAGAAGTGTCAGTTGATGTTTCTGTAGAAGTGTCAGTTGATGTTTCTGTAGAAGTGTCAGTTGATGTTTCTGTAGAAGTGTCAGTTGATGTTTCTGTAGAAGTGTCAGTTGATGTTTCTGTAGAAGTTTCAGTCGATGTTTCAGTAGAAGTGTCAGTTGGTGTTTCTGTAGAAGTGTCAGTGGATGTTTCAGTAGAAGTGTCAGTTGATGTTTCTATAGAAGTGTCAGTTGATGTTTCTGTAGAAGTGTCAGTTGATGTTTCTGTAGAAGTGTCAGTTGATGTTTCTGTAGAAGTGTCAGTGGATGTTTCAGTAGAAGTGTCAGTTGATGTTTCTGTAGAAGTGTCAGTTGATGTTTCTGTAGAAGTGTCAGTTGATGTTTCTGTAGAAGTGTCAGTTGATGTTTCTGTAGATGTGTCAGTTGATGTTTCTGTAGAAGTGTCAGTTGATGTTTCTGTAGAAGTGTCAGTTGATGTTTCTGTAGAAGTGTCAGTTGATGTTTCTGTAGAAGTGTCAGTGGATGTTTCAGTAGAAGTGTCAGTTGATGTTTCTGTAGAAGTGTCAGTGGATGTTTCAGTAGAAGTGTCAGTTGATGTTTCTGTAGAAGTGTCAGTTGATGTTTCTGTAGAAGTGTCAGTTGATGTTTCTGTAGAAGTGTCAGTTGATGTTTCTGTAGAAGTGTCAGTTGATGTTTCAGTAGAAGTGTCAGTTGATGTTTCTGTAGAAGTGTCAGTTGATGTTTCTGTAGAAGTGTCAGTTGATGTTTCTGTAGAAGTGTCAGTTGATGTTTCTGTAGAAGTGTCAGTTGATGTTTCTGTAGAAGTGTCAGTTGATGTTTCAGTAGAAGTTTCAGTTGATGTTTCTGTAGAAGTGTCAGTTGATGTTTCTGTAGAAGTGTCAGTTGATGTTTCAGTAGAAGTGTCAGTTGATGTTTCTGTAGAAGTGTCAGTGGATGTTTCTGTAGAAGTGTCAGTTGATGTTTCTGTAGAAGTGTCAGTTGATGTTTCTGTAGAAGTGTCAGTTGATGTTTCTGTAGAAGTGTCAGTGGATGTTTTAGTAGAAGTGTCAGTGGATGTTTCTGTAGAAGTGTCAGTTGATGTTTCAGTAGAAGTGTCCGTTGATGTGTCTGTAGAAGTGTCCGTTGATGTTTCTGTAGAAGTGTCAGTTGATGTTTCTGTAGAAGTGTCAGTGGATGTTTCAGTAGAAGTGTCAGTTGATGTTTCTGTAGAAGTGTCAGTTGATGTTTCTGTAGAAGTGTCAGTTGATGTTTCTGTAGAAGTGTCAGTGGATGTTTCTGTAGAAGTGTCAGTGGATGTTTCAGTAGAAGTTTCAGTTGATGTTTCTGTAGAAGTTTCAGTGGATGTTTCAGTAGAAGTGTCAGTTGATGTTTCTGTAGAAGTGTCAGTTGATGTTTCTGTAGAAGTGTCAGTTGATGTTTCTGTAGAAGTGTCAGTGGATGTTTCAGTAGAAGTGTCAGTTGATGTTTCTGTAGAAGTGTCAGTTGATGTTTCTGTAGAAGTGTCAGTTGATGTTTCTGTAGAAGTGTCAGTTGATGTTTCTGTAGAAGTGTCAGTGGATGTTTCAGTAGAAGTTTCAGTTGATGTTTCTGTAGAAGTGTCAGTTGATGTTGCTGTAGAAGTGTCAGTGGATGTTTCAGTAGATGTGTCAGTTGATGTTTCTGTAGAAGTGTCAGTTGATGTTTCTGTGGAAGTGTCAGTGGATGTTTCTGTAGAAGTGTCAGTTGATGTTTCTGTAGAAGTGTCAGTTGATGTTTCTGCAGAAGTGTCAGTTGATGTTTCTGTAGAAGTGTCAGTGGATGTTTCAGTAGAAGTGTCCGTTGATGTTTCAGTAGAAGTGTCAGTTGATGTTTCTGTAGAAGTGTCAGTTGATGTTTCTGTAGAAGTGTCAGTGGTTGTTTCAGTAGAAGTGTCCGTTGATGTTTCTGTAGAAGTGTCAGTTGATGTTTCTGTAGAAGTGTCAGTTGATGTTTCTGTAGAAGTGTCAGTGGATGTTTCAGTAGAAGTGTCAGTTGATGTTTCTGTAGAAGTGTCAGTTGATGTTTCTGTAGAAGTGTCAGTTGATGTTTCTGTAGAAGTGTCAGTTGATGTTTCTGTAGAAGTGTCAGTGGATGTTTCTGTAGAAGTGTCAGTGGATGTTTCAGTAGAAGTGTCAGTTGATGTTTCTGTAGAAGTGTCAGTTGATGTTTCTGTAGAAGTGTCAGTTGATGTTTCTGTAGAAGTGTCAGTTGATGTTTCTGTAGAAGTGTCAGTTGATGTTTCTGTAGAAGTGTCAGTTGATGTTTCTGTAGAAGTTTCAGTTGATGTTTCAGTAGAAGTGTCAGTTGATGTTTCTGTAGAAGTGTCAGTGGATGTTTCTGTAGAAGTGTCAGTTGATGTTTCTGTAGAAGTGTCAGTTGATGTTTCTGTAGAAGTTTCAGTGGATGTTTCAGTAGAAGTGTCAGTTGATGTTTCTGTAGAAGTGTCAGTTGATGTTTCTGTAGAAGTGTCAGTTGATGTTTCTGTAGAAGTGTCAGTTGATGTTTCTGTAGAAGTGTCAGTTGATGTTTCTGTAGAAGTGTTAGTTGATGTTTCAGTAGAAGTGTCCGTTGATGTTTCTGTTGAAGTGTCAGTGGATGTTTCAGTAGAAGTGTCAGTTGATTTTTCTGTAGAAGTGTCAGTTGATGTTTCTGTAGAAGTGTCAGTTGATGTTTCTGTAGAAGTGTCAGTGGATGTTTCAGTAGAAGTGTCAGTGGAATTTTCAGTAGAAGTGTCCGTTGATGCTTCTGTAGAAACGTCCGTTGATGTTTCTGTAGAAACGTCCGTTGATGTTTCTGTAGAAGTGTCAGTGGATGTTTCTGTAGAAGTGTCAGTTGATGTTTCTGTAGAAGTGTCAGTTGATGTTTCTGTAGAAGTGTCAGTTGATGTTTCTGTAGAAGTGTTAGTTGATGTTTCAGTAGAAGTGTCCGTTGATGTTTCTGTTGAAGTGTCAGTGGATGTTTCAGTAGAAGTGTCAGTTGATTTTTCTGTAGAAGTGTCAGTTGATGTTTCTGTAGAAGTGTCAGTTGATGTTTCTGTAGAAGTGTCAGTGGATGTTTCAGTAGAAGTGTCAGTGGAATTTTCAGTAGAAGTGTCCGTTGATGCTTCTGTAGAAACGTC